TTGCTGCATACTGTAGTAGTAGTAGTTGCGTTGTTACGTTGTAACATATTGAAATGAGAAATGTCTACACAATGAAATTATTATTTACTTAAAAAAAGAACTTTTGCACAAACTCTGCTTAAACAAGCCACTGAATAGTTTACCAGATTTCGTCTCTGTTAAGATTCATTAAATTTTCCACCCTATTCTCTCTATATCTCATACCCCAGGCAATAACAATATTTGGAATGCAAGTGTTTCATTTTTTCTCTGACCTTTTTTCTTTATTCATCGAATTCTTATTCGTCTTCGCCTTCTTCTTCTTCTTATTCTTCTTTTTCATCATCATCATTATCATCATCATCATCATCATCATCATCATCATCATCGTTTTAGTCTGCCATTCTGCCTCCGCTTTTTCATCTTCTCTGTCAATATGCTAAAATAATTTCTTAACAGATTTACATACTTATGCATTCGGGATTATGATTTGTTTGTACAACTTTAATTGCTTTTAATTAAAATTTTACATTTATCCCTTACATATTTTTAATGACACACACCAACACCGTTTACATATCCGCATCCATACAGTTAGATATTTTTCATACGCTTTGCATTATCGGCATCATAGACTACTAAATACAAGCTTAGCTAGCAATTTAGAAGGAATGAAAGGTAAAAAGTTTTCTAGTTCTCTGTCATGTTCAGTGAGAAAAGTGAGAAACGAAACTAATGTCAATTCTGGCTGAGATTAGAATTTTTTATAGGTAGGGGTAGCTAAATATAAATGCATTTTTTCTTTAACTTTTAGTGTTTAGGTTCTTTTTCCTTGTGCGTATGTGTTTAGCGGGTTTACTCTTCAAAATAATTAAAATTATTAATGGAAAATTATTTCTATTAGTACATTATAGAATACAGTTTAGTTAATTTATTTATTTATTTTGTTTACTTCTTTAAAAAATGTTTACCATATGGTGGTTAAAACTCGAACGTGATGTCTTATCAAATGTCAATCGTATGGATAGAATATAGGAGATCGGAGTTACTACTTTATATAAAGCAATGAACTACAAATATAACCTTTGAATTTTATATAGATAGGATTTATAATTTTCGTGCATTATTTCTCTCTGCTTACGTTTGTATTTATGCATACGGATGTGCTTATAATTACTACTCAGTGCTGCTGCTTCCGTAACGTTCGCACATTTCTTCTACGGATATGTTATCATAAACGCATTATTTCTATGAATTCATTTCTTTTATTGTCCCTCCGAGAATGTTGGCTGCGGTCACATTAGACACATATGGTACATTATTTTCTTAAATAAGTGTTCATTACATTAAGATGACTATTTTTACGTCTCTTGGATGAAAACGTTAACTAAAAGTCTTGCTAATTGGCTATAATAAAAGGCGTACTCCTCTGTCTATTGCATGGTTTAATACGGTTATTAGGAAACCTTATTTCTGTGCTGCCCGATATTATAGCCCACCGTTGGAGCATGTTATGTTTATAATATTTATAAAGAAACAGCAAAAGCAAATTAAACCATTCAAGGGAAGAATTAATTTAAATATAATTTATTATTTACATTAATTTTTCTTTCTTTTTGATTTGCTAGAAAATAGATTGGACCAGTTAAGTTAATATTAGATCCATAATCCAGAAAAGTAGTTGAAAGCGATTGATGAAAACTTTGAACATTGGTAGAGACTGATGTGACAGAGTGTTCGCTATGAGAAGCTTTGTTTCTCGGTCAAACTATAAATTAATTATGATATAAATTATATTAATTTTTAACTTGTATTAATAGCATAAGTGACAATTTGATTTTAACTCACAACAGCATTTTACCTTTTCTCTCGTTACATTCACATTCAATTTACTTTATTGAATATTTTTTAATATAATCTCATGACAACAGACAGCAAAGAGACAAACTATGGGTATATAAGTTATTCTTTGTGCGCGAAGAAATATAAGAAATAGTCATTTAACTGACAATTCATTTTATTGCCGATGGCAGTTGTTATATATATTTTTTTTTATTATATATATAATCACTATGACTGGTGATGTTTTGGGAATAACGGACATAATCTGTTATTTGTCAGTAGCTTTTCGACTTTTCTTTCCTACTCTTTGACAGACGGGAAGGAGAAATTGACTGCAAACAGTTTCAAATAACAACAGCTGGTCCATTTAGTTAATGCGCATTTTTCGCTTTCTCCTTCGTTTTTTTCTCTTTTGTTTATTTATTTATTTATTTATTTTTTTTTTTACAGAAAATCCTCAATTATTTATGCATGTCACGAAAAGTATTTATGAGTAGTTAGAGAGAAAATATCATTTTTGTGGAAAAAATCAACTCTTAAAAAGGCTTCTAAAGCTTGGTGATAATGGTGGAATCATTTTCGGATTTTATTTATAGTAAATTCCCTATCATGTCATTTTAAATAAATTAAATCAAGAATGAATTTGGTCGAGTTACTTCTACTCAATTAAACTTTTAAGATTTGATAGACTTTTTTCAGCATTTAGAAGAACATATCGATAGACTTGTACTTAAAAGGAGGTTAGTGCCAGAAGTATCCAAAACTATCTGACAAAGGAAGCCGGAGAATTTTTTGAAAAATGTTTTAGTTTCTCAATGTAGTCTCCCGACATACGAGCAAAGTTCAAATTTTTAAAACCCTGAAAGTGACTATTAGCCGAAGATCGCATTTCTTCTGTGTGTGGACAAATATTTGACTATCGAGTAATTCTTTTCTCTCAGAGAAGGCGCTTAGGCAGCAATCTAATCTTTGACCCATTTTCGCACTTTAACAACTTTGCAGAGCTGCTTATCAGACAGAAAGGCAGTCAGACTGAGAAACAAGTCGACCAATCGACAGATCGGCACATGCAATGGGTTTGTTATTTTCTTTTCATTATTTCGGCAATAAATCAGTTCAGGCTGCTTTTCGACACTGGCCGGTAACTGACACTGAGGTCGAGCCATGCGTCAAAAAAACGCCTTTTACGGGAGGTGGGCTTTTTCCTGCCTAATCAGACATGAAATTCCTGCTGCATTATGACAGGTGATGAACATTGGATGCGATACGGTATCCACGGCTTGAATAATCATAATGCAAACTATAGGAACCATTAACACCGCTGATGCAGTTAAACATTCATGGAGTTCTCTTTAGCGGAATTTAATTGGATGTGTTGTTTTATGGTGTGTTTCAGACAAATAAAACTATCGCTAGAAAACACCACCAATGATAACTAATGCAATTGAGATCAACAATGGACGCAACATATCCAAACTTATCCATGACAAAATTCGAGTCCATACAGAAGTTAGCAATACTAACTTAACAAATGTGTCTGTTACTTGCCCTAATGTTATCAGCGGACACTGCCATTTCCAATTACCGCTGGTTTTAATCGGCGGCTTATTGCCTATTCGAGCTGCATCCCTTGTTCATAGGTACACTCAAAAAGGAATTTTTGTACATGCACCTCCAAAATGCCACTTGGCCTTCCCGCATTGAATTGACACTCTGCCTAAAAGATAAAATAATCAATGGCTAGCTAAAGAAAATATTATATAGAAATCTTCAATTTTACTAAAAAATCAGCAGAAACTTTGTCACACTAACAATAAATTACTTTATTTGATTTGCGACAGAGAAAAATATGAAATTTTCTTATCACAATTCAAAATTAATTTCTGGTTTATTTAAAGACTTTGCTGCAATCAATTTGTTCAAAGTACTCTTTCGAAGAAAAGTTTCGTTATTCTCTTATCATGTATGGTTTATAGTTAGTCGATAATATTTATTCCTATTTTTTTTTTTTTTTCCCGCTTAACAAGAACTTGTAATCATTTCTCTTTAAAAATGAATAATGTCATAGACGGCTCTTTGTGGCTCTTTATATATTGAATGTGAAATTGTTCGTCTGCTATTAAAAAATAATTTTGTTTTGGTTATGAGTCATGTGTGTATTTGAAAGCGGCGATAGAAGGTGATATGATATGATAAGATAACACCTTAAGACTTCTTTCCGCCTATGTCTCCGATTCCAATCAATAAAAACGTTAGGTCTTCTTTAAGACAAACATAGCAAAGCAAGTAAGTATATATTATATATTACCAATAAAAAAATTGATTGAGATATGTCATCTTTCGTCATACGTTTGCAATTTTCAAATATTCCTTAAAATAACAACTTTTTAGTACCCGACTGCTTGGATTAATTTTGGAAATCTGCACGGAATAGTAGAAGAAGAAACTCGACTATTAAGTCTGATTATCCAACCGTATTTCAATTGCTAATGCGTTAGGCCATGGTTTAAGTGAATGCGCGATCGGTAATGGCATAACACTTACCGATTGGCGTATAGCATTTCTCAGATTCCCTGCTGCAATCTATAGTTCTCTCCCACCTTCTCTCTATTCTAACCATCGCCGTGATTATATACATACATATGGATATGTCTTGGATACATGCCTTGAGTAACGTGTGTTTTTTTTTTTTTTTTTAATAATCATCGAAATTTTGATAATTTGTTTCCTTAAATATTTAAATGAAATTTTCTCTGCCTGCGTATTATATTTAATTCCTTCGTTCACGATATCAAAGTCAAATTTACAATATTAGGCTATTATGCAATAGTAGTGGTAAATCGCTTTATAGGACCCTCGGTCTTTTAATCATGTCATCGCCAGCGATATAATGGCGGGTACAAAACTGTTTTGCTGTCACATTTTGCAAAAGTGATAAAATTGTTTGGTTTTGTGTAACATGATTTATTTTTTTTATTCATTTTATAAATGCGGTTATATATATTTATGTAAGCATGTATGTATTGATCGATAACGAATCGATTTTCTATAACTCTATCATTCATATTTATTTATTATTATTATTATTATCAAAGTATAATTTTATTATTTGTCATGTTTATCGGGTTTCGCCGTTTACCATCACAACACGTTTAAAACTAATGACAAGTGCTTCGCAATCATCTAGTATTAATTAAGAGACCTTCGAGAATACAAGCAAAAAAAAATTTTTTTTCAAAATTTTATACTAAAAGCAATCAATTACTCAGGAATTAAAAATAAGAAAAATTCAAAAATAATGGGTAAAAAATCTTTATTTGAAAAATATATAAATAAAGCAAGGAAAAGTGTTGTGAATTACTCGTTGATTAAGAGGAAAGCCTTTTTGCAAATATCTTAAATTAAAAAAAAAAAATTCACATTGAATGAACATAGTTAAGAGAGTTATATATATGCGTTTAAGCCAACTTTATATCGACTTTACTTTAAGATAAACGAAAAGTTTGACCTAAACCGTTGACGTGTTAATCGATCGATGATGTGTTCTCTGCGCTTTCATATCATTTTTTGCTAACATTTCTCAGTGCATATCTGCTCTTGATTGACGTCTATAACATAGTAACTGTTTAGAAGAATTTTACATTTGCCTTAAGACTTTTTGAGGTTTTTAGAAACTATGAGCCAATTTGCCCAAGGATCGGTCTCATTTGAGCACTTGCTCTGCAGACATTATCTACTAACTTAGTAATAATATGCATTTTCCGGTGTTGTGCGATCTTAAGCATAAGCAGTTTTAAGGTTGTAAAGACGGACAGACAGCCATAGTCCAATTATCTGAGGGCAAGATTTTTAGCATTTTGTTGCATATTTTGGTTACATTTCCATGTTGCAAGGGTAATAAAGAATCTAACACGATACCAGATGTACTATAGAAATTAAAAAAAATTGTATATTTGAAGAGAGATTGATTGGTTTTACATCAGATGAACTAACATTTTGGTTTGTGTTCAAAGTAAAAGAAAGAAGAAATGCCAAACTTTCTATCCCTCTTATGTTTCTATTATTGATTGCATAATATTTTTAAGTGTTCTTACTGCTGTTAGTTAAATTTTGCAAAGAAATGCCTTACATGTTAGGCAAACTTTTAAAAGTTTGCTTAAGATAACTTTTTTTGTTTTATATATGTAATAATTTACTTTAATCTTAATTTTATAAACTAAAAATGACAATAAAAAAAAAAGAAAAATAAAATGCCATTATTTCGTTCAGATTGTACATGGATTCATTGCACTTCCGGCTCTTCCTTACCTTCTGGCGCTGTGGTTGGAGGTCATGATTGTGATGGCTCACCTATTTATGTCGGCCGGTCTAGTCATGAAGGTGACAACTTGCCTGCCAAAGTTACGCCCTGTAAAGGCTGCGCTTTTGTTTCCTGGGGTGGAGCTGAACACATGAAACATCATTATGAGGTTCTAGTGGGTCATGGCTATACGTGGAAATCGTGTCATGGTGGTCATGTGCCACTGAATGCCGTCAAGTCCGGCATGACTCGTACCGGTGAACCTTTGTATATCGGACGAGGACTTCATTCTGGTAGTTTATGTGTCGGCAAAGTTCATCCATCTCATGGCTGTTTGTATATACCTTTCGGTGGGCAAGAGGTACGTTTAAATACCTACGAAGTATTGGTGCATGAAATATCTGATAGATGGGTGTCTACGGGTATGCATTGTGCTCCCCCTGATGCTGTCGTAGCAGGTCATGATAGCGATGGTGCAATTATTTATGTGGGACGTGCTTTGCACGAAGGTGAAATGCTACCCGCAAAATTTATACCCAGCAAAAAATGCGCTTATATAAGTCATAGGGGCCATGAACATAGTAAAGTTGTTTTCGAAGTATTATGTGGTCATCATTACGCCTGGCAGGTACCTACATCCTATCATCATGCTTTACCCGCCAATGCTGTTTCGTGCGGTTTATCACATACCGGTGAACCTTTGTATATTGGTCGTGGTGCTTGGCAAGGTAGTATGACGCCTGGTCGCATATCAATTAGTCAACGTTGCCTATTTATACCTTATGGAGGGCAGGAGATACGCTTAAATAATTATGAAATTTTAGTCAAACATAAGTAAACGAAAATGATGTAAATATCTATACAGAGGTTAATGTAAATTGCTACAAAGTGTATATATTAAATGAAATGTTTTATAATTATAATGTGTGAATGTCTATGTGTTGCAGAATTTTTAAGAATCAAATTACAAGTAATTGTATCGTTACCTTGTTCACGTTCCAATTTTGTTCATTCAAATTATAATTTATTTCATAATTATTTTTTGTACTTCTTGACAATGATAAATTCGTCTTCGAACAAGTTGCTTAACTCTTGACCTCACCTGCCTTATTCGAATGTTAGCAACGAACATGCCAAATGTATAAGGAAAACTTAAGCCTTCAACCGCTGTTATCCAATATGCTTTTAGAGTGTTGAAGTGAAGTTGACTGAATAAAAAGCTTTTTTTCTGAGGAATATATAGAACGAGTATATTATATAAGCGTTGTTTTTAGGTAATTAGCGGGAATTAGGAAAGGTCAGAAAGACGCGAGGAAGTAAAAAGAAGTAGCGAATGGCTGCAGTAATGATTTCGACTCTGCCGATTGCACACCTACTATACCTACAATCGAGTAACCGCACTGCGATTTGAACTCGTGAACATTGACTTCGTTATCGCGGCTCACATCTAATCGTCTTGGGCAGATTGGACTTCTGTGAGAATCTGAATACAGTATTCAACTATGCATTCGACAATTTCAAACCAGAAAACTTAAGCTTCGAGTGTAGTTTGGAAAATATTCGAAGTTTTATTGAAACTTTGACACTTTGATGAAATGGTGGAAAGAAGGTGTAATCGGTTGTTCCGCGCTTTAGAGCCTTCCTAAAGTTTCATAATTTTGAAGCATCCTAATGGAATTTTACGAAAGAATTTAGATCAACTTGGGTCCTAAACTATTCTGAAGCGTACAGTTTTATCAAAAGTTTCATCTCTAACGCCCTGAAATTTGAGCTCGCGAACACTGACTCTTGTCTATTCCATTAGTGCACGGAAAGCAATCATTTCCAGATTAGTGGGATGATCTTCGTGACTTTTCGGATATTTTCATTTGGCCGTGCATTAGAGGCACGTTCCTCCATAGTTGTTCGAATCCCCACGAAACATGGGAGGCTAATAAAGTTAAAGTAGGAGGCCTAAAACTATGTTCTTCACTTACTAGAAGTCTTGTCATTTTTTGCCATTTACCATAAATTCTCCAAATCTGTTACAATTTGTAAGTGACTATAGACGAAATGCGTTAGGAAAATGCTGTCTAAGATGTAGAGGGGTTAGCGTCCAAGTATATATTCGATTTTTTTTGGTGTACAACAAACAAGTATCGAAGACGTCGAACGGGATCCGATGCTGACAATGTTCAAAGGCGATGGAGTGGTTTTGTAAATAATGGAGAAAGCAATCATTTGCTCGATATGACGCAGAAAAGCTAATTATTTTCGGTAGAATAATGCTCTTAGAACATTAGAAAATATTCTATGTTAGGCGATTTTTTTTTTTCTATTGTCAAATGAGCAAATAAACAAATGAAATGTAAATATTTGTGAGGGATGTACATATTGATGGAGATGTACATAGAAACATGTTTGTTAATTAAGACTTAAATTGATGAGCTTAAAGTTTAGAGACTCATCCTAGTGAAGAATTTGATAAAAGTCATGTTTCGTTTTCTATTCAGGTGAAAAGTTTAGCATTATTGCTTACGTCGTATTGCCATTGCATTGCTGTCGCATTTACAGACTCTTTTGTGTAGGAAAAATAAGCAGAACTCACATTGAATTTGCATAACACCATTAAATGACCATAAGATCAACAACGACAACAGCAACATTTACTGGATACTTATGCGATATCTAAGCAATTGTTAACATTGGTCAATTCAAATACCTACTGCAGGAAACAGGACCAAATAGATTTATTACTGCAGTAGATTCTTTTTTCTTTCTCTCTCTTTAATATTTGTTTTCTAGCAATGATGATAGAGCAGTTGTTTAATTGTAACGCTTTAGAGTAAAAAAAAAAAAGGCTAAAAAAAAAAAAAGAGATCAAATTCGGTCTTTAAACAGCAGATCTTGTTAACGTGTTCAACTTGGACAAGGTTTAAGAGAATTAACGAAAGTTATATTATTTGTATATTTAAAATACATAAGCAATCCTTAAGATATTCTGGGAATTTCTTTTGTTGTTGCCATGGCTTTGTTTAAATTAAATATTTTTTAACCCTTATCCTGTCAACAAGTCTGTTACATGTCAGTTTAAAATGCTGACAGCATTGTTATTATGTACATTAGTAACGCAGTAGTGGAAAATATAGAGGAAAAAAAAAAATGTGAAAAAGAGAAAAACTAGAAAAGCCATACACATAATACAAAGTTACTTATACGCCTTGTGGCTTATTTTTGATACCCATCGTCTTAAGCGGATGCGTAAATTGCATAGTTATACGCAAATTGGCTCTCAGAGTTGCCTTTGCAGACGGCACATTTTATTGGACGTTCTGCGTCATATTTCAGATTTCCAAATTAAATTTCTAAGTTTGCTACGGGTCGCAAGTTTTATGCAACGCAAGTAAAGACATCCACAGATTGGTATCTGGAAAACATCGATCGCAAACGGAATGATGAAGCTAATATACCATTTTTCGTGTTCAAGAAGTCAGGAAAAAATACATAAAGGAAAAAATAAATAAATAAAGATAGGTAAATAAAATAAACAACATACTATGGTAGAGTAAAGCATCATAATATGTATAAGAAAGTTATAGAAACGGTTTTACATTCTTACTTCCCTGGGGATCTTAAGAGACATAAAAGGCATTTCAACGATGTTTATGTTATGACTCAAGGTTTTATTTATTAAGAAAGAATCTATCCAAGGGATTTTCCATCAAGGGCGAACTTGACCAAAGCTCCTTTTAAGATTTTAATATTATGCTTATTGCATTGAAAGCACTTTAAAGTGCAAGTAAGCAAGATTAACCGGCAAACCAGAACATGTAAATTCTTTTGTCAAAGTGGGCTCATAACGAATTTAGGCTTGCATAGGCCGTTGAATGTCCCTTTATTCGTAAAATACTTTTGCGCTCTACACCATTTGCGATACAAGGGTGCTGCATACCTTCGATGTATCGCTTATTGACAGAACCATGGGGCTGCTTAAAAAAAACTTTAGCCGCGGAGTTCAGTTTTTCATTTTTAACAAACCGTCTAAAACTCAGTCATTTTTTCAAATCTAGAAAAGAAAGTTTGACGGAGCGAAATGGCATGCGAATGGGACCCGTGATGAAATAATTCGAAGTTTAACTCTTTAGTTTGGCCCAACATGATGAAGGTTGTTTGTGCTCATGTATTCCATTGTTTAAACAACATTTTCCTTTACGCAAAAGGCGACCAATTTCGTTGGTTTCACCACTCGAACGCTTATTTGAAAATAATCAATGAAAGCTATTCCGCACGTAATCCGAAGAAGTGCCGTCATGAATTTGTCAGTAGATAAGACTTTCTTCGCTTTCTTGGACCTTATTCTATTCGCACAGTTTATAGGCTTGAATGTTTCATCGTCTAAATTGTCAAATAACGTGGTCATGTTGCATCCCTGGTTACATGTATGCATTTCATTGTAGACAAATGCGACGCGCACAACATTTTCATGCCTATGTGATATACTGCCATTCTTCATATGCTTGCTACGTTTGCTCCTGCACTTGTTGTCAGTCGACTTTTATACCAATTTGGAAATTTTGGATGGTATTTTTAGTTTTGTGAACTCATTTGGCCTTTGGCTGCGGTGTTCGTCTGCTCGAATTGAGGAAACGGACTTCCTTGTGAAAGAACCTGGCCTCGTCTGGACATTGATTAGGCTGAAATTATAAGAGTGGAAGCCATACCATACCAACCATAGCAAGTTTTGTCAAACAAACAAACGCCACCTCTCATGTCAGATAAGGTACTTCTAAGACTATCCTTGTATACCTTGCATTACGTTAGTGAAGATAACGTATGCTGACTATGGGTTTCAAGAGAGAGAGAGAGAGAGAGAGAGAGAGATCTAAGAGGTTTTATTGAGGTCTAGGATAAAGATTCATTTTAGCTTCCTTTCCTCTTTACTGTGATCTGTATTATGCTATAATATTACTTTACAAAGACGGTATTAATGTTAGAAAGTTTTTCTAGACACAACAATAAAATTTCTTTCGCATTATTTTACCGGAAATATTCCAAGGGTAGAGCGAGAAAAATTATTTATAATTACAATTGTATCATTTGTGCTCCTGAGGCTATTTTCGGAATTTTCATATTTTAATTTTAGTTTAGAGTTCAGCTTAGTGAAGAGATAGCGTCAGCCATAACGTTCTTTTATATTATAAAATTATTCGTTCTTGATAAAATGTTAAATAAATACTTCAACTTTTGCGTACAGAAATATCTTTAAGGCATTGAAAAAGCTGTCATTGAATGTATGCTTTCGACATCATTTAAAAACCAATCAGTGATTTTTATTATTTTTGAGAGATAAAATTTAATTAAATTATCATCTAAATGTTTTTATTACTGTGTATAAACTTATTGTTGTTGCTGTTGTCTTTTCATTAACTCTCCAAATTCGTATTTATTTTAACACAGAGTACAATATTGTTTCCGGCTTTTCGTATTTTAATGCGATACATAGTTACATGTATATTGTATGTGAATGTGTATTTTTAAATAAATACACATTAGCATGTGTTCGTTTTTCTTTTTTGGGATAAAAATCCAACTTCACCAACACTTTGTCATTTACTGGTTTTTGTGGTTTGTCAACGTTAACCGCAATTATTGCATTGCAATTGTCAAATTGTTCGCTTTGGCTTGGCAGTGGTGCGGGACCTGATGTTTATTATGCTCGAATAGTCATAGGGTATGACAGAAAGAGACATAGGAATGCTTATATCTTCCTCTCCTATGTTTTCTTTCTCTTCCCATCTCTTTCCTTCCGTTTTTTTTTGTTTTGAGGTAAATTTTACACAATTTGGTTTAAGTTCAATGAATAATGTTAGCTAAACCATTCCAAAGTACACTTACATATATATATTCATTATTGTGTATCTATGTAAGTATTTATTTA